GGGGGGAGGTCTTTAACCCAAGCCTCGCTCATTTCTTTAAAAATCAAATGAGTCAAAGATGCAAATGTAAAAGTATAAAACTTTATAAGAAAAGCTTCATACACAAGATGATTCCTACCTATCAGAAAAAAATAGCATCTGGGGTCAAGGCTTGTCTGCAAACAAGCAGCCTTCTAAGTGAGGTGCCACATGGAAGAAGCACGTCACCCTGACCGACTCAAGGACTGTGAAGATGACCACCATCTGACGAAGGGGAATGGCATCCGAGCTTAAACTGTGCACACCCAGTTGGCAGAGGCTATGGGTGACAGCGGAAGCTCACATCCATTTGCAGGTCCACACGTGGACTGCTCAGCTCTGGTAAGTGCCCTTTGACCGTAATCAAGGGATGTGGACAGCCTTGTTATCAGACATCATTGTAAAGTTCACTGTGGCAGATGAAGTTAGGTTAAAATGTAATACCGTCTATCGTTTGATTTCCCTTTTGACCCATTTTAAAGTTGTTTCCGACTTCCAAAATAAAAAAAATTTAAAAACCCTTCATTACCTGAGGTTAGAGGGAAAGCTCTTCCATACGAAAGAAAACTCCATCAGTGAAATATAATTCATAAACTGGAAGTTATAAGCTCAAAGAAAGTACTTGCAAATCACATATCCAACGAGGAGCACACAAATGCCTTGACACAGTCGTTGAAACACAAGTGAACATCTTTTTGGTTTTCTCTGCTTCATCCAAGATCCATCTGACATCAGCAATGCTGTCCCTTCCTCCCAAGCCTGAACCTCTGATAGTTCCCTATCAATGTACTGATGCAACCTTTGTTGATCTTCAGCAAAATTTTACTTGCAAGTGATATCAAAGAAATTGTTCAATAACTTGTGCATTCTGTGGAGAAGAGAGATATAGATCTCTTCCAGTCAGTTGTCTTCCAATTTACCTGGCATAGATGCATAGATGCGTATGTGCTTCTGGCCCTGCATCAGCTTGCTGCAACCTTTAATGGTCCCCATCAATTCCTGGAGCCGTGTGTGCTGAGCACCTCTGGTTCTTGATCATATGCTACCTCTGGAAATGGTTCGTGGACTAGGTTCTTTTTGGAACAGTGACTCGGTGTATTATTTCCATCTATGGATGCTTCCTGTATCATTCAATACGTTGCCTATAGGATCTTTCGATATTGAAACGTGAGGTTTGAATTTAAGTTCTTTCCAGTTAAGATACACTGAGCCATGTTCTCCATTTTTGGTTTTCCAATTCTGGGTCCTTGCACATTTCTTAATTTTACTTTTTTTCAAGTTGCCCTTTGAAATGTTCTGTTCAGCTCTTTCACTTCAACATTTCCTCCATGTGCCTTACCTACTCTAAATTTAACCGCGAGTTTCAGTCTCGTCTGACCTCCACTTTTGTCCTGCTTTCCTCTAGTGGTCTTGGCGTCATCAGTTCATTTGTGTTCGATCTGCTCTTGAGATGTTCTCTAAATTCTGATGGGATAGATTCAAAGGTTGTATTTTGTTTTGCCCGATTATCTGGCTTCCTTTGTGGAAGCTCCCTCCTAAACAAGGCATCATAAGCTTGCTATTCCCGATAGCATTGTCTTTATTCTCAAGGTTGTGTTTTAGCACTCGGGACCTTGTTTTCTTGGGCTTCAACCTGAACTTACATGTGAGCAATTTATGGTCTGTTCCCGTTGGCCCCTGCCCTCGTTGTAGCTGCTAATACTGAGCTTCTCCATGGTCTCTTCCCACAGATGTAGTCCATTGACTTCTGTATATTCCACATGGAAAAGCTAACATGTTTATTTGCCTTTTGGATTGCTGAAAAAGGGTAATGGCAATGAGTAAATCACTGGTCTTGCAAAATTCTATCATGTGCTTTCCAGCTACATTTCTGTCACTAAGACCCTATTTTCCAACTAATGTTCCTCTGTTTCCTATTTTTGCATTTGCCAATAAGTATCACTGCATCTTTGATCGATTTCAGATGGAAGTGGTTGGTATAATTGTTCCATTTATTCCTCACTAGCTGTAGTGGCTGGTGCATAGATCTGAACGGGTGTGTCGACGGAGTCTTCTTGTAGGTGAATACTCTCCTATCACAGAATCCATCTTGAAATGGCCTTTTGAAACTGGCATTTCAGTCTACACTTTCACTATTTTTGGGGACAATACCATAACTCATATGCATTAATCCTGCTGCCTTCTATATTCAACATGCAACTTACACATGCATATGAGGCAAGTGAAAACATCATGGTTTAGGTAAAGCCAACCTTAGGCCACAAAGTGACATCCTTTCTCTTCAACACCTTACAGCAGCGGTTCTCAAGCTGTGCATCACGATCCCTTGGGGGGTAAAACCCAATCCCTTGGGTTGCCCGATTCATAACAGTAGCAAAATTACAGTTATGAAGTAGCAACAAAAATAATTTTAGGGTTGGGGGGGATCACCACAACATGAGGAACTATATTAAAGGGTCCAGGCATTGGAGAGATTGAGAAACCACTGCCTTACAAAAAGGCCTTTTGCGGCAGATTTTCCCAATGCAATGCATGCCTTGATTTCTTTTTTTTTTTTTTGCCTTGATTTCTTGACAGCAGATTCCATGAACATTGATTGTGGAACCACGTAAAATGAAATCCTTGACGTCAAGCTTATCTCCATTTATCATGATGATGTCTATTGGTCCAGTTCGGAGGATTTTGGTTTTGTTCAAATTGAGTTATAAGCACACTGATTTTTCATCAGCAAGTAATTCAAGACCTTAGCTTTCAGCAAGCAATATTGTGTTTTCTACATATCACAGAATCTTAATACGCCTGCTTCCAATCCTGATGACAAGTTCTCCTTCATATAGTACAGCTTCTTGGATGATTTGCTCAGGATATAGATTGAATAGGTATCAAGAGAGGATGTAGTCCTGGTGCACACTGTACCCAATTTTAAAAATATGCATGGCTCCCTTGCTCTGTTCAAAGGACTGCATCTTGGTCCATATAGAGGCTCCCATTAAGACAATGAAATGTTCTGAAATTCCTGTTCTGCTCAATGTTATCCTTAGTTTGTTAGGACCCACATGGTTAGATGTGTTTGCAAAATCAATGAAACACAAGTAAACATCTTTCTGGTATTCTCTGCTTTCAGCCAAGATCCAACTGATGTCAACAATGATATCCTTTGTACCTGCCACGTCCTCTTCTGAACCCAGCTTCAATTCTGGCAGTTCCCTGTGAATGTACTGCTGTAATCCTTTAAAAATTTTTTTTCATCAAACTTCTGCTTGCTTGTAATATTGATACTATTCAATTATTTTCTGCATTCTGCTGGGTCACTTTTCTTTGAAGTGGGCCCAGTATGGATTTCTTCCAGACAGTTGGCCAGGTAGCTGTCTTTCAAGTATCTTGGCATAGAAGAGTGTGTGCTTGGCAAAGACAAGTGGAAAAGACAGCCTTGATGACAGAAATGGAGCTGGAGATCGATCACAAACAGAATTTCGCAAGACCAATGGCTCCTTAATTGCAAATGCCTTGCTTCAAGCTGATTCTATCTGTGAGAGGGGAACGATGGACAGCAGAAACAAGGCCAAAGGTCACCAATAGAAAATACCATCGGCTGCTCGTAGGCAAGTTTAAGTGAAGGGGAAGAAAATTCAGACAAGGCCAGGACAGGCAAAAAACAACTTTTGGGTCCATCCTACCTGAATTCAGAGAACATCTCAGAAACAGATCGATGTACCTGAAGACCTGACAAGCGGTATGGTGAGATCAAGTTCAAAGGCCATGAAGAAGACGGGAAAGATAGGAGACCGTGGAACTCGTTCTTGAACACAGATTAGCGAAAGCAAACGGAAGACACAATGACAATGACGTCAAAGCACTGAACAGGAATGTTCACGGGGCAGCAGAAGAAAAAGTAAGCTATTACGAAGAACTATGCAAAGCCATGGAGCTCGAAAGCCGAAAGGGAAGAGCACGCACAACGCACAACCTAACTCAAGCTGAAAGAATTAAAGAAAAACATTCAAGCCTGGGGTTTCAATATGGAAGGGCTTTCTAGTCAAAACCACTGAACTATGCAGGAAGGATCCAAAGACGGAATAAAGACTGTACCATAAAGAAATGGTCGGCATGCAACCACTTCCAAAACCAAAACCAAGCTCAGTGACATTGCCTGGATCTGGAGTAGTGGTTTCCTTGTTGGGCTGCCAAGCAGAGGGCAGGCGGTTCGAGCCCACCAGATTTGCAGCCTCAGACCCCAAGGGGACAGTTCTAGTCTGCGCCACAGGGTTGCTGCGTGTCAACCGCATCAAGGCAGCATGTGATCAAGAGCCATCGGGACCAAAGGAAGAGCTCCAAGCCAACTGGAGGCATCAGTGACGATCAAGACTCCAGGGCCTGACAGAACCCGCACGGAAATGCTTTATAAGTGGATGCAGCACTCACTTCTTTGCCACGAATTCTGCCCACAGAACCCTTGCTCCTGAAACCCGAGGCTGGCAGTTTCTTCGATTCTTTCTGCTCGAGGAGCGCTGGTTTTCTAACTCCGGGCCCTTGCACATTTCATCACAGTATTGCATTTTGTTGTCTCAAGCTACCTTTTGAAATCTCCAATTCAGCTCATTTCTATATATTTTCCCTACTCTGCGTAATTTAATAAAGATAAATAAGACTTGATATGACATGGATGAACTTCGAAAATATTACAGTGAGGAAGCGGAGTCAGACACTGTAGGGTGGGTATTGGATGACTCTATTTACAAGGATCAATAACAGACATAACATCAAACTCAGTGGTTTCCAGTGGCAGGTGGGAAAGGAAGGCATTTAAGGGACATTGAGCCTAAAGGTGATGGAAACATCTGAGATGGGTTAGTGATGGTGGCTGAACATGATGGGCATATTTAATGTCACTGAATTCACGGACTAGGTTTTGTTACCTACACGTGTACCACACCAATGAATGAAAATAAAACACAAAAGGTATAAAGTACCAGTGCATGCTACAATGTGGATGAGCCTTTAATGCACTTTGCTAAATGAAAGGAATGAGACACAAGTCCTGTCTTGTTTGAGTCTGTTTACCTGAAATAGTTGCTAAGGGTGGGGAAGGAGCATGGTAGGGACTGCCTAGCACTTAAGAGGCTACAATGATGCAGACACTTCGAACCCGAGCTGATGGCTGCACAGCCCCTGGAATGCACTGGCTGCAGGTGCACTGTTCATGTTAAACTGGGGGTGGGGGTGGGGTTCCGGTATGTGAATTTCAACTCAAATTATTTTGAACTTTTGTTGATTCGGTGCTTAAATGAAAAATAATTACGTACACAGGCAGGTTGGAAATCAGAGAATGGGAAAAGGAGCCTTGTACACAGGAGCGAAAAGCAAGCCTTGGTGCATTTCACGTCCAAGTGACCTTGTGGGGTTGATGCAGCACAAGCAATCTTAGAAGAGTCCAGAGAAGGCACACAGGTGAGCTGAAGCCAACATCGCCGGGGACTGCAGGGAGTGGCTTCAGTCGCTGCCCTACAACTGGACCCAGGACGCAGGGCCGGAGCGCAGCTGGAGAGGCTGGCTCTTAGAAGAAGCAGTCATGTCATCAGAGTCCCCAAAGCACATGCCCAACCAAATTCTTCTCCTAAAATGTCACTTACAAAGTTTCCAGCCAAAGCGGGAGGTTCCACACGACCATGGAGACTTCCCCATGGGCACTGGCTGGGTGGGCTTTAGGGGGCCTACAGCTCCGCCCCACACAAACAAGTGCGGCTGGGCTGCCTAGTGTTAAGAGACAAGGCCTCGAGCCGAGTGGAAGGGTGACAGTCAGAAGCCAAAAAGATCCAAGGCTAGAACAAGACAAAGCAGCACCATTGCCAGGGCAGCGCTATGGCCCTGGGAGTGCCTCCATGCTGTGCTCCAGGAGTAGCTTTGGGCCTGCCATGCTCCAGGCTCTTGTCTCTCTGGCCGGAGGTCTGTGGAAGCAAGGGACTGCAGGGCAGGACCATGCAGCTACGTCCCCCTCCGAGACAGGCTGCCTTAGTTGGCCTAGACCAAGGGCAGGGGCGGTTTGGTACAGGCAGAAGACTGGAGGTGGCAAGGCTGCCTGTCCCTTCTGGGGATGAGGGGGTGGGGATCACTCTGGCAGCCAGGAGCACAACCCAGGACAGATGGCTCTTTGTCTAAGCCTAGCTAGCATCAACGCACAGTCCCCAGGACAAAGCCCCTCTGTCCTCAGGGTGGGCTCCCCTCCACCCGGAGCACCGCCCCCAGGAAGCAAGCAGGGCCCACTACAGAGCTTGTCAGGCTCATCTCACAACAGGGACAGACCATGGACACATCAGAGAAGCCTGGGCTTCTTCAAACGAGCCCCACACATCAGGTCCCAAAACAGAGGGGCCTCAGGGGACAAAGAGAAGGTCAGGGGCTGGTAACCAAAGGGGCATGCTGTCCAGGGGCTCCGTGGCTGTCATCCCTGTGACCACTGTGGGTGGGACCAGGTGGTGCCAGCCAGGTTCCTACTGGGAATGGTGGTGCATCAAGGCCCTCAGTGCCCGTGGGGGGGGATCCAGACGACTTCTGGCAGGGCCCCCGCCAGCCCAGCAAGCTCCTGCTGACACTGTCCCTGCAGCCAGTGCAGCTCCGCCTCCAAGCAGGCCGCCTTGCTTCTCAGTGCCTTGATGGCCTCAGTGCCCCACAAACCCCCGCCTGGAAGCGCCCTAGATTCACACCTCACCAGCCGGTGTGGCCCATGGGGCAGGGCCCCCCATTGTTCCCAGGCCTGCCGCAGGGTTGCCAGCTGCCGCTCCACCATTGCCTCTGAGACCAGCACTTGGGGGGTGCTCAACTCCAGCCCCTGGATCTGGACCTGCGGGCAGGAGGCAGCTCATGAGGCACAGGGAAGCCACCCACACACACACACCCTCACCCAGTGACTCCCACATAGGGCCAAGGGCATTGCCCTCACGCAGGGCCAGCTCAGAAGGGTCCTGCACCTTTTTCACCCCAAGCCCCTGAACCAGTGGGTCATTTTGAATGCGAAGACCTGTGGGGGCCGTGGACGTGACACCCAGCCCCAAACCACTTCCTGCTCTCCAGCAGGGAGGATGGACCCCATGCTGCTGGGGCTGAGGACAGAGTTGAGGGGAGCCTCACACAGCTGCCAGCACTGCAGAGAAGCTGAGCTATTACGTGTTCCTCACCATGCTGACTGCAGCACTCCATGCTGGCTGACCTCCATGTCTCCAGTGGGCTGCACAACGGGCCTCGGCAGCAGGTGTCTCCGACCGAGGATTTGGGCCTTTCTCACAAGCTTCCTCACATTGAATGGTGTGGCCCTAACAAGTATCCGGCCCACCCCAGGGTGCTCACCCTGCCACTAGAACCTTGAGGCTGCTGCTAAGCAAGTGGGTCAGCAAGGAGCTCACCTGGGCCTCCCATGCTGTTCGCCGTGCCTCTGCAGCCAACTGCAACTCCTGCCACAGAGCCTGCAGCTCCCGAGTGACCAGCTCTAACTCCTCATGGCCCCGGTCAGAGATGGCAGCCTGAAATGTGGGCTGTGGGCCAGTGTCTGATGGACACTGGGGGCAGGCACCCAGCACTGTGTCCTACAGAGAGACCTTAGTGAGAAGAGGCAACAATACAGGCCCCAGAACCAACCCTGGTTCACAACTAGCTCGAGGTCCACCCAGATGGACAGCTACAGCACAAGGCAGGGGTTAAATCCCTGGAGACCCAAAGGATAGATCTATGGGCCTGAGGTAGGGCTCCCCAGGAGCTAGACAACCAGCAGTGGGCCCTCTACCCCAGGGTAGGACCAGGAAAGGTGCAAAGTCCAGCCACTGCACCCTGTCAGCCTGGCAAGCCCAGACACACCAGCCCTGGGCCCAGGACGCTGGGGCTGTCGTTGTTATTCATCCCGCCTATCTTATTTAGACAGGCCTGCGGAGATAACAACATGCACAAAAATAAGACAGAGCAAAATCAAGCGACAATATACAACAAAACAACAACAAACCAATGACAAAAAAACAAATTAAAACACAAGAAAGAAAAGCTTGTAGTTAGTTCACGGATCGTTGGCCTTTAGGAGTGTTTTCCAGTCCAGTCTGTTGGGGCATCACACCCTGGCCCCAAAGTCTGCCTTCAGCATTCTATGATGCTCACCTTCCCAACACAACCGCTGAAAACAAAGCGGGTGAATAAGCAAAAGTGATGAAGAAAGCTGATGGTGCCGGGCTATAAAAGGATATAGCATCTGGGGTCTTAAAAGCTTGAAGGTAAATCTAGCAGCCAAAGCCCACATGGAAGAACACATCAGCCTGTGTGATCACAAGGTGCCAAAGGGAGCAGTTATCTGGTGTCAAAGAACAAAAAATCATATCATTGTGTGCTCACCTCCATGATATGATCGCTGAAGACAAATGGGTGCATAAGCAAATGTGGCGAAGAAAGCTGATGGTGCCCGGCTATCAAAAGGTATAGCGTCTGGGG